GGGGGGGGGGGGGGGGGGGGGGGGGGGGGGAGAGTATTGGCATGTCTCAAGCATGTAAAACTTTAATTTTGGAAGACGAAGAAATAGAACTTCATGAAACATGAAATCTTGCCTTTTTTTCTTTTTCGGTAATCTGTTTCTTCCACATCAAGTCCATTTGCTGTGCAAATATGAGATTTTTTGGTTGAATATTGCAGATAGTCAAAAATTTTGGAAATAACTTGGGTCTGAGTAGTTGCTGAATATGGTAGAACTTAAGTAGGAAACAGTAGTTGCTCTTGCAAATAAATAGGTCCTATAATTTTTCAAGTGTTGGTTTCCTGTGTTTGTACTTTGGTAGGGTAAGCTCTTCAAAAGCTTTTCTTTCTGAAACATTTTTCCTCTATGTGCTTGCTTTGGAGGCCAATAGCAAATAAGAGAGCGAGGACTTCGGGTGTGTATTCTCTTTGACATCTTCGCATTGGGCGTATAAACCACTTGAGCTGTAGGACCACATAATTTTCTTTTATTTCCTCAAATTCGTTCTCCTCTGATCATCCTCTTCTTCCATATATTTTCGTACCCTAGTTTCCTCTTTTGGAGGACTCGTATGTCGTCAGTTATTTTTGGGAAAAACTTGAATAATGATGGTCGTTAATTTTACTCTACCCAAAGAGAGGTTATTGTATGTGTTGTTATACGTAAGGGAAGTAATTGTAATTACCTCCTTATTGTCTCATTACACGTAAACTTATGAGGCTTATCTTCTAATCAAGGAATGTGTCATCTTAATTTTAATGTGTGAATCCTTAAGTGCTTAATGGATACACACTATTCTTTTTTTTCCTAGTTTAAAGATCATTAATATCTTTTCAAGTGATTCTTGTATATGCTTCTCATTTCAGGTTAGCTGGCTCAAGAAAACCAACCTAATATTTCTATTTTTCCTCTTGCGGAAGCTCATCCTACCATTTTATTCATTCACTCTCTTTTGTATCATCCTCCCACTCACCATGTTCCTCCCAGAAGCCCAGTTACCAGCTTGGGTCGTCTGCTATGTGCCTGGACTTATGTCTGTCCTCAATATTCTTCCAGCTCCACAGTCATTCCCTTTTATTGTACCCTATCTTTTATTTGAAAACACAATGTCTGTGACCAAATTCAATGCCATGGTATCAGGGCTTTTCCAGTTAGGAAGTTCTTACGAGTGGATTGTTACGAAGAAGTCTGGACGATCATCAGAAGCTGATTTAGTTGCGATGGTGGAAAATGAATCTGAATCTTTGTTGAAGAAGAATACTGTTTCAAGGTCATCATCAGAATCAGGCCTTGCTGAACTTAACAAATTAGAGATGACCAAGAAAATGGGAAAGAGGAAGAGAAATCGTTTATACAGGAAAGAGCTTGCCCTTGCATTTATATTATTAACAGCCTCTGTCAGAAGTTTGTTATCTGCTCAAGGGATTCACTTCTATTTCCTATTGTTTCAAGGGTTTACTTTCCTTGTTGTCGGTCTTGATTTGATTGGCGAACAGGTAAGTTGATCATAAGATTTTTACAAGATATTTGGCCACGAATTCAGTTGTGGCAAATCCTTTCGGAAGGGCAGACCGTACTGCTTGTACATGTGATTGTGGTACCTGGCTTCCTATTCCTACATTTATGTGGTATTTTAGCGAAAGCTTCATAATACCACTATTTGGCAGTCATATGTTATTCAATTGATGCCAAGATGGAGACTAAAATCAATACTGGTAAGATTTGTCATTTGCCTACCACTTAGTTTGATGTAATTTATTAAATGTTTGCCTGTAATAGTAGTGTAACCATGAAGTAGTCTGTTTTTATTTGGTCAAGTTTGTGATTCTTTTATTTTTGTCATTGACAAACTTTGTACAATATATATAGTTATAAAGTTTTGGGAGAAGGCACCAGTTACACCGTACATTCTGATGATCGTCTACAAGCTTGGTTCATACTGGTCCATTCTCATATGAAATTTGGTCAATAAAGGACCTCTATTTGGTCACTAAAAGCATCTTTACGGAAAGCTAACTTGTATTTGGTTGCAGCCTGAGAAAAGGTAGCCCTGGAAATGGATGCACTTATAGAAAAATTGTTTCAACTCAAAGAAAAGGTATTGTCAAGATCTTCAGTTTTTCACCTATTTATTTTAGGGAAAAAATAATTAGAACTTCTAGAGCATCCACTAAAAGTACCACTCTTAAAGAGGAATTTTTGTAAATAGCTATAGTTTGGACCTTAATTATATATACCCAACAATATTTTTCATATTTACCAAACCCAGTAACAGTTTGAAAGAGGAAAGAGACATCTGACATTTGCTGATACTTACCCAAATATGATACATGTTAGTATAGTGTTGAACTTTTTTAGTATTGTATCACTCAGACACACATCACTGATACACCTAACAAACCTAAAGCTTCGAATGTGATACATATATCAGTGTTTCAACTGTATGCACAATTATATGTTTAGCAAACCTAATACATATGTTTTGTGTACTGTATCAAATTTTTTAAGTACTATATTACTTGTACATGTATCATTATTTAGAAACCCAATTTAGTAAAAAGATTACGACTGAGATAAAAAAATAATGGCTTAACATCAGCCAGAGAAGTTCCATTAACGAAACAAAACAAAACGAGGCTGCAGATAGCAAGAGATTGGAAGTGCAACAATAAGAGGAATTGAGTTTGGTTTTGTATAAGTCTTAATTTCTGGACTAGGAAGTTTTCAACTTTTGAGAATTCTTCTTGGGGTTTTGAGTTTTGTTAGTTATGTAATTAGGGTGTAGACCTGAAATTATACTTTATTCATTTAATAGTCAAACTTTAGTTTCACTTATTACTCAATTCTAATTTTTAAATTTCGAGTTTTATTGGGGTTGCTGCAGTTTTTCTTCTTAATACTTCCTCCATTTCATATTAATTGAATTTTTGAGGTGTTTCACACCCTTTAAGAAAAATACATTTAGACATAAATTGAACATAATTTTTCATTTTTACCCTTATTAATTATTGTCAAATTTATGATTAAAATAACTAAATATTAATTAATCACTAATTCCATTACTAACTAATGAAGGGTAAAATTGGAAGAACACTCTAAAAGTAGTCTTGAAAACTGAAATGCCTCAAAAATTCAATTAATATTGAATGGAGGGAGTAGTAATTATCTTCTCCAATAATGCTTTTTGGGTGTCCAAAGTATAGGATTTTTATGAAAAATCTCGAAACAATAGGAATTCATTGGAAACGTTTCCCCATAACAAATACTCCCTCTGTTTTTGGGCAAGACAAGAAAGGAACTTGCCCTTTGACACCAAGGGATAAGAGCTGATTGCTGACGATGACTTGTTGAAGGGAATCTATGAGAGAAGGTTTTCGAACCGGGTTACGATCAACGCGGAACCAATGAGTTCTCCGTCGGGGTGAGAAGTTCCCTTCCCTTTTCTAAAATGCCTGAGGGGTCCCTAATTAGTTGTCCATCTTTTAATCGACACACCTATTAAGAAAATAATTATTGATATAGTGAGTTTACCATTTTATCCCTATTAATTATGAAGTGAGTGAATTAAAAACTTAAGATTTTCAAGAAATTTTATCTTTTTCAAACTAATTAATTGAGGGTATAATAGATAAAAATATTTTGTCCTTTCTTGATTTGTCAAAATGGACAAGTAATTAGGGACAACAAAAAAATGAAAAGTGGACAAGTAATTAGGGACAGAGGAGTATAGCAAAAACATTGTCAATTAGAATGCATCAGTTGATAAAAATAAATAAGATGAGTTATTACGAGAAATATCTGATATGGAATAGCATATGCATATAACCTTTAACTCAAAACATTATATTTGAAAAATCACCCGGTAATTGAAATTTATGCAATTAACAGGGTAGTAATACGTATTATAATAATTAGGATGACCTGTTTGTTTATCATAATGTAATTACTGTATACTAATTACAAGCTTTATTTACCAAAAAAGATGGTACAATTAAATTTATAAGAGGTCAAGGGCATGGCTTGTCGATTTAGATTGTTGATTAGGTTGATTAATTAGTAGTTTTAATATACAAGTATAAAGTAAATAACATAAAGTATAGTAAAGAAAAGAGCTAGATTGTAGAACTGCGCATATGAGAATGATCTTCGCGTCCCCACAGATAAAATCATAAAACAATAAAGTTTAGAATATCGTAATATGAGAATATAAAGTAAAGCTCAAGAAATAAGGGAAAAAGTAATACTAGTATTATATCGGTGTGGAATTTGAATGAATTATAAGAGGGAGTATGGTAAACTATTAATATGTGCATGTGAAAAAGATGAGGCCTCAACCAAGAAGAGTGCTCCACTCGATCCCCTTAAGTATCATGACTGTTAGACGGTGAAGTCGTTGTTGGTTGGCTATTATTCCTAACTCGCTCTAACGATCGTACAAACTCGTTTGCGCACATAGCTTTCCTCCCCTTCCCTTCTGCCCTCTTGTCTTTTTATCTCCTATCAGTAAAGTAGGATCCCGAATTCAAATCTTTTTGGGTACGATCCTGACATTTGGTGATCCAATTTATGCCAAGATTTATCAAGCAATTTTTTACAAAAATCATTTATAGAGTCATGTATTTCTTTTTCACAGTTAATAAACCCTCGGCCCAAATAATTTCTTGAATTAACTAGTTAATTATCGAAATGTGTTCCACAAAGAGTATTAGATCATCATCTTGTACATCGGTTTCTAACGGGAGATTGACCAAATTGCCAATCAAAACATTCACTATATTCTTTTGTTGCTTTCTGAAAACTCATTTGGGTGCCTAATCATCATCATGATTTTCTATAGCACATACAGAAAATAATTAAAACTAGCCGCGTATGAAAAAGTTATACAACAATTTATATTGAAAATTCTTGTGTGAGGTTTAACAAAGGAAAATAATTTCGACCTACTAATAAAGTTTATGATAAACGAATGCCTATAGTTCAAAAAAAAAAAACAGAAGGAAAAAAAGGACAAAAAAATGTCATATGTTAATGTTGAGATATGAGCTGATAATGAAGTAAGAAGAGTACAAGTTAAAGCTGTTAGGATTAATAAAGGGCAGATTAGTCTTTTTCCTAAAGTTAGTTATAACTACTTTCTGTTAGTAAGTTCTAGAAGTTAGTTACCCATTGTAAAAGGAATGAGCTATAAATACTAGCCTGCTCCTTGTTAATGGAGTTTCTGTGCTAATTGAGCTTGTTTTTCACTTACGTTCATGGTCTCAGAGCTACTCACAATGATCTCTGTGGAAGGCGATTGGTGTTGAATCAAAGAATTGAGTATTCAATTCACAGATTCATCTTTTTAGAAGAATTACAAATCTAAACTAGGATCTATTGTTCAGTTGTGTTGTTATGTGCTTCCGCGACAAGTAATTGATTGAAGTATCAGAGAAATGGAAACAAACAGAGCAACTGTAGATCTGGATCAAACCGTCAACAATGGTCAAAATGAAAGTACATCAACACCACTCCATGTTGCATCTTTGTCTGGACAAGGTATTGATTATAATCATCCTTTCTTCCTTAGTCCTGCTGATATTAGTGGAGTTAGCGGCGTTGAGAACTATACCCTATGGAACCGTTCTATTACACTAACACTACTAGGAAGGAAAAAGGTAAGGCTAGTAGATGGATCCTGCATGAAAGAGACGTTTGGTGAAGAACTGTGGGGACAATGGGAAAGGGTTAATGCAATTGTACTCTCGTGGTTGATGAATTCAGTGTCAAAGAGCCTACTTAGTGGCATTGCTTTTGCATCCAGTGCTTTTCAAATCTAGAATGATTTGAAAGAGAGATTTAATAGGATAGATGGATCTAGAACCTATAGTCTACATAAGGGCATTGCCTCATTACATCAGGGCATTAATTCTGTGTTTGTGTACTACACTAAGCTCAAAACACTATGCGATGAATTTGAAGCTTTAGTTCTTGCTCCATCTTGTAATTGTGACAAGTCTAAAGGATTTGTTACTCATTTGAATAGGCAGAGGTTATATCAGTTTTTGATGAGGTTAAATGAGTCTTACCATCAGGCTAGGAGCCAAATCCCGATAATGAATCCCTTACCAATTACTAACCATGCATATGTTATGATAGTGGGAGATGAGTGTCAAAAGGTTGTGGTTTCAGTCACTAACAATATGGGATTAAACTCAATGGGAGCAGATTCTGTAGCTATGTTCTCTAAAACTAGTACTTCTTCAGGAACAAGTCAAAAATACAAGAAGAATTACATTTTGATATGTGACTTTTGTCATTATAAGGGTCATAAGAAAGAATTTTGTTATAAGATTGTGGGATATCCACCAGACTTCAAATCTAAAAGGAAGGTATGGGGGACTTCCTCAGACTCTACCTCATCTGGTCACCATCAACTAGCTCACTTCTCATATGGTATGAATACCAATGTTCTTGTTCCGAGATGGAGAAAGAAATCTGATATTACTCAGGTTGTTGATGAAGTGTTAGAAAATTCCAAAGTGCCCAAAACAATGAGTCAAACTGAGATGAAGGTCAAACAACTACTTCAGGGCTGCACTTTTACAAAGGAACAATATGATCATATCCTCAAAAGTTTCCAGCACAAGAATGAATCTACTTCTTCAGACTGTTATGCTGCACATGCTGGTCACACTGCAGGTAAAACTTTCTTTGTTTCTGAAAATAGTAGAGTGTGAATTGTAGATACTAGTGCAACAAACCACATGGTGTCTCAGTTGGATATGTTTATCAAAGGGTCTGTAACCAAGTTAGAGGTTCCTAAGAGTGTGTATTTGTCTAATGGAGACACTAAACAAGTGACTCATGTTGGTTCTTGTGCATTCTCAGATAGAAGTATCATTTCTAATGTCTTCTATCTACTTGAATTCAAGTACAACCTGATGTCAGTGAGCAAATTAACAAAGGAACTTGGGTGCTCAGTCACTTTCTTTCCTAATTGTTGTGTTTTCCAAGAATTTTACAGTGGAAAGGTGAAGGAGATTGGTGAAGAAGAAGGATGTATGTACACTCAAAAACATTTTGGTGGAAAAGAGGGATGTTTGTACACTGATAAGAAGG